AAATCTTCAAGATGGCAAGAATATTGTTAACGTCGAGGTTGAAATCGAAAAAATTTGATGTGGTTCATGTTGGATATTTGAATTGAATGCTGGTTTGGGTTGTGAAATTCAGAGTACGTGAGTTTGTGTATGAAAATACATTCGAGAAATAGTTTGGGTTGATTTCCCCCGTTTTCCCTTTTGTTTTCCTTCTACACTAGTTTGAGTGTTGGTTTTTATCTTGATTTGTTTTTTTATTTGAGTGTTGGTTTTTTTATTTGAGTGTTGGTTTTTATCTTGTTTTTTTTTTTGTTAGTTTGGCTGGTTTCTAATAAAATTCAAGATGACCTAAAAAAGATTTTAAATTATTTGTTTTATTTAATTGATGAAAATATATATAAAATCAAAATAAACATCCTTCATCTCGAGTGCCAACTCATCACAACTTTTTTCAATTTTATTTATAATTATTTTAAATATGTTGTTTAGTAAGTATTAAATTTGGTCAACTGAAATCAATGTTTAAGTCTTACTATTTATCTTTTGAGATAAACACAATATAAATAATTGATAACCAAACTATATCTCACTTCTAAATCAAATTATTTTTTTCATCTTTTAGATATATGTTAGTCAAACTTTCTTAATTTTTTACCAAATTAATTCCTAAATTAAATTTTATCCCATCAAATCAACATTATATATATATATATATATATATATATATATATATATATATATAGGAAAGAAAAATTAATAGAAAAATGGATTTAGCTAAAAAAAGTTTTTAATACATTACTATAATAAATTATTTACTTCAATATTTGACTACATATGGATTGCTTTTAGAAGCTAATAGTCAACAAATCTTGTATAAATCTTAATAAAGATTTTGTTTCTTCAACTTTTTTCACATTGACTACTGTAGAAAATTAATTACAAATTTAATTTTAAAACTATTACATAACTAGAAACGTGCATCATAAGAAATTTTAAATATATTTAAACCAAATCTCGCGCGCAACACATGTCAACCACTAGTCAAATAAAAAGATGAAGAACACTAAAAAAGTAGAGAAAATTAATATTTTACCTTAAAATGAAGATTGCTTCTTTTGTGTATGTGCTTATATATAAGTCTCATATCAATGGTAAAGCTTACCACCTCTCTCAGTTTTCTTGTGAGGTGAAGAAACTCTCCCTTCTTGATAACTTTATAGTGTGCTTATGTTCTTGTATCATATTATTTCTTCTAAATTTTGCTTCAAATGTTTCTTGCTTGTTTCATAGTATAATCTCAAACAATACTAGGATTATGTTGTTTCAAATTCCACTACAATATTTCATATGATAGTTCTCCCATTACTAGATCTTTAATTCTTATTATTAATGAATGCAACTTTGATTGCATTGCATTATTGTAAATGTTTTAACGTTGGAACATGTACAATGATCTTATGTTTTTTCCTCTCTTTTTTTCTGTGTATAATGAAGCTTTAGCAAATTCTTGAACCATGGTTTCACCAAGGAGAGTTAAAAGTAAGGCACATGAGTACCTCAAGGTTGTGAAGGATAAACTTCAAAACAGACGTGATGATTATATCAAGTTTCTTGAGGCCATGACAGATTTCACAGCTCAAAGGTATATACATCTCCATAGTTAATATATAAGTTCAAGTTTTATATTTATGTAAGATGTTTATAATATTTTGGGGGGAGTTAAAGAAAGAATCTGCAAAATTTTCATTGTAGAATGGATCCATACATTGTAAGATTAGTGGTGAAAGATCTCTTTAAGGGAGACAAGGAGCTGCTTTCGGGTTTCAATGCGTTTTTGCCAAAAGAACTCATGATAGAACTCGACGATGAACAACCAATTCCACCAACAATGGCTGATGAGTTTTGGAAAGCCATTGATTATATCATGAAAGTTAAGGTAAATATATATACACACTTTGGATATAAATGTTTTGGTTAATAATTAGTTTTATATCTTGAATTTTAGTGTTTTTGCTATCAATAGTTTATACTAACCTAAACCAAATATGTATAACTTGTATTTCATAATCTAGTTTTTATTGGAAAATGTTGTTTATCTTCTTGTATGTTTTATGTTCCATTTTCGCTTACATATTGTTTATCTTTAGGAAACGTTTCAGGATGATGATCGTATATACAAATCATTTATGAATATCCTGGACATGTTTAAGAAGAAAGAAAAGAGCCTCGATGAGATCTGCAATGAGGTATATTTACATACATTACAAGAAAACATGCCAATTTATGACAACGATATTGGTCGTAAATTTGTTGGAAATAGCATATTCTGACGAATTTTTGACAATATCAAATTCGTCCGAATTCTTTGTTCTGGAACTAACATTCATCGAAAATTAGTTAGAAATTTCTGACGAAAAATATCGTTGAAATTTTTTTCGGAAATATTTGTCGTTATTATATACAAACCTATGTTTTATATAGTGTTCTTGTTTTGGATTTGATGTGGATGTTCATTTTGTAGGTGACTATCCTATTTCGAAACCATCACGACCTGCGTGTGGAGTTTTATCACTTTCTCCCTCGTAATTTATGATACCGTAGAGACGAGGGAATGAGATGATGAGTTATATATGCAATCAATGAAGCTATGTCGTATCACCAATCTGTTGTTGAACTAGTACTTAAACTAGTAACTTATTTCGGGTTAAATTTGTTATCATTTAAACTACATTTTATGAATAATACATAACTCATTTCTCAAAATTGTTATACAATTGTGTGAAACACTTAACTTTCACTATCATTTTGTTATTCTATAATCTTCTTAATATTGGTTGAATATTTTTGGGTATATAAGGTAAAATATCTAAAGATGAGATTCAAACGTCTAATAGATTATCCTGGTTTGAGTCTTCAATGGAAATTTATTTTCAAATTCATTAGGTACATATGTAGATATAATTCTTTCTTGAATTATATTTTCCTAATTTTTGTTTCTTTGTTTGAAGTGGTTGTTTATTTTTCAAATTGTTTTCATTTTTGTTTCCCTTCTGATTTTTTGTTGTTAAATTTAACACGTGTCATGATCATCTTAATAATAACAAATTAGTTCTATAAAAAATATGGAATTTGTTTTCAGTCAACCAACAATTATGATGCATCATTTTTAATAAATTAGCCAAAAATCTTTAGATTACTTAAGAAATGATCCTTATTGCATATAGTAGTGGTCTGGTCTATTGGATTAATCACAATAATAATGTAATAGAAAATTCCAATAATAATATTACATTTGAAGGCTGTTTAAGCTACTGTCTTCACTCGGAACCCTTATCACTGTGATTCGGTTCTAAGATCAGAGCCGTTTCTCCTGTTTTAGGCCGCCTCTAGAGAACCTTCTCTTCCATGTGTAATTTCAATTTTGTCTTTCTTTTAAGGGTTTTGCAAATGAAAATGATGTCTCTTTAATGTTTTTTTTATGTATGTGTGTTGATGTTTTTTTTGGTTAATTAGAATATATGTTTATAATTAATATAAAATCCACATAGTTCGTTTTTTTGGGTAAGATAAAAAAAGCCCATTTCCTTTCACAAACGAAAAAAACCCAAAAAAGCCCATTTTTAAAGTGACAAAAGAGTAAATAAAATGACCAACGAGGGGTAAAATGGGAAAACACCACTCAACATTTCTTCTTTCTTCTGTCTTGGACAAAAAGCTTAATACAATTCCCTTCCTTTGGTTTATATTATAAACACAAATCTCCGATTTGATTCACTGCAAAAAAAAACCAAATCCCAAATTGAACGAAGAAGAAGAAGATGAGTAGAGGAAGCGGAGGTGGCTACGATCGTCACATCACCATCTTCTCACCGGAAGGTCGTCTCTTTCAAGTAGGTCAGTAACTCGAAATCGAAATCCCTCACTCTCAAATCCCTAGCTTTCCAAAAACGCTGATTACACTTTTTGCTTTGAACAGAGTATGCTTTCAAGGCCGTGAAAACTTCTGGTATCACTTCTATCGGAGTTCGAGGGAAAGATTCAGTTTGCGTCGTTACCCAGAAGAAAGTTCCGGTGAGTGAGTTTAGGGTTTGCGAAAAGTTTGCATCTTGTTGAGGTTTAGGATTTGTTTGGCGGATCTTACCAAATTAGGGTTCTTACGTTTTGGGTTTTGGTTGGTACAGGACAAGCTTTTAGATCAGTCTAGTGTTACACATCTGTTCCCGATTACCAAGTTCATTGGATTGGTAGCTACTGGGATTACAGGTTTGTTTCATGACCTTTTGATCTGTTCTTAAGCTGTGGGGTTTATGATCTGTTTCGAGATTTATACAAAGCTTGTGTGTATTACTCAGCTGATGCAAGGTCTTTGGTACAACAAGCAAGGAATGAAGCAGCTGAGTTTCGGTTCACTTATGGATATGAGATGCCTGTTGACATTCTCGCTAAGTGGTATAGTTGCTAAATGGTTCTTAGTTTCTTAGTGGAAGCTGCCTTATAGTTATCTAGTTCTCCTGTGATAATGTATTTAACTGAAGTTGCTGATACATAACTATCTTGTTTACAGGATTGCGGACAAGTCTCAGGTCTACACTCAACATGCTTACATGAGACCCCTTGGAGTTGGTAAGTTTGCTATCTCTTTCTTTTCTTAAGACAAATCTTATACATTTGCTTAAAGCTTATTACATCGGCTTCACATTTTGATGAACCTTATTGATTGTTTTGTTGTTTCTCTTTATGAAAATGAAGTTGCTATGGTAATGGGCGTTGATGAAGAGAATGGTCCCTTACTTTACAAATGTGACCCAGCTGGACATTTTTACGGTCACAAGGTACTCTCACTCTTAGTTTATGGTTTAACTAAACTTGTCTTCTCATGCTTGCCGTTTTGATTGCTTTTGCTGACTGCATCAAGATTTTCTTATAACCTATCTGATTAACTTGTACTTACAAGCATATTGACATACACTTTAGACTACTTACTTCTTGCTACTAGTTATTAACATAGAAGAAAATGCCTTATTAATCTGTGTGATAAGCATAAACGTAAATGAGATAATAGGAGTGAGGTTTTCATAACTGCAGAAGCTTTTGGTCATTTGCGTTGTTTGTGGTAAGCCTTTTGAGCTTTGGGATAGTTTGGGAGCTCTATAACACAGCCTAACTATCACTTTGGTTTGTTGTATCTGATTGGTTGTTTATTCATTGAATTACTTGTTTTCTTTGAAGATTTACAAAGAACAATAGAGGAAACTTTTCAATTCTGTCTTATGCTTTTAGGATTTTAAGTAATGTGCTCATTTATACTTTTAGATACTGGTTGATCCTAGGTTGAAACTAAAATATGTCACGTTTTTTGTACCTATTCAATGACATAACTTCATACAGGTTACACATGAGTCTTCTGGACCATATGACTAAGATCTCTAGAGGATATACACAATTTTGGCCACTTGTCATGTTTAAGTCTTTGTAATCTGAGAAGCAGCTAATATTATATGAAACTATATTCATGCAGGCAACTAGTGCTGGTATGAAGGAACAAGAAGCAGTCAATTTCTTGGAGAAGAAAATGAAGGAAAACCCAGCTTTCACATTTGATGAAACCGTGCAGGTAATTATTTGGATTAACTTTCACATTTTTGCCTGTTTATGTTAATTTGGTAGCATATGCTCATTATCGGGTGAATACTTGTGATGCTCCTTGTAGATACACAAGGGTGCAGTTTTTAAACTGTAATATACAAATCAATTATTATTGTAGATGCATGTATGAAATGCTCATTGTTCCTCACTTTGTGTTTTGTGTACTGATTTAGACTGCCATATCCGCTTTGCAATCTGTTCTTCAAGAAGACTTCAAGGCTACTGAGATTGAGGTATTCAAATCTCTTCCTGTATACCCATTATTTTAATTGGTAAAACATGTATCTTAAGATTACAGTACTTGTCAGTGATTCATTTTTGGTTGATATATCTTATCAAACTGGTTGGTTGAATGATAGGTTGGAGTGGTGAGAGCAGAGAACCCGCTCTTCCGTGCATTGACAACAGAGGAGATTGACGAGCATTTGACAGCCATTAGTGAACGAGACTGATCTCGACTTAGTGAAACAAGCATGAGTTACGTTATTGCTTTTCTTTCGCATTAAGTGATCACTCTCCATCGATCGTTTCGTCTTCCTTCCCTATTTTAATTAGTCAACCCACCAAACTTAAAAACAAAAGCACTGTAAGACTGTGATAGCATCCGAGTCTCTTGACTCTTCCCAGCTTTTTTTCAGTCTTTATTGTAATGACCTTCCTTTTTACACAAGTGAGCATGATCCTTTACTCTTGGTTTGGTTTAGATCTTAATCACTCTTGCTCTGATACTAGTTGTTTGCTAAATTTGCCATATGCATGATGCTTGCTTGCACTCATAGATGATGCTTGACCTCACCTCTTAACCATTTATGTCAATTTGGTTGTTGCTTGCTATGTTACACCCACTCCAACAGTACAACAACAATATAAAAATGAAGTCATATAGGTTCGTGTCATGCATTACAGAACATAATGATTGTAATTTTGGACGGACTTAATATTAAACTACATCTACTAGAGAGACGTGGTTGAATAGACTAATTTCTAAAACGCGTCTTACCTTACGACCAAATGTTTTGTTTTTGTAACTTCTTTAGACCAAAGTTCTTACAACTTGTACAGAAAGAAACAGAACAACATATTTTTTTTATAACGATTTTGATTGAATCAAACAAGAAAAAAATCAATTTAAAACCTAATTCTAGAAAATATTTTCTGTTTTTTTTTACTTTGATGGTAAGAATATAATTCATATTTACATTTTATGTTTAAAAACACACTTAGTACCGTTCCCCTCCGGCCTCGTTACGCATTGGTGAATTCAATCCGTTTCTCAAAGCTATACGGTGGTTTCGTGCGGTATGTGCCGGCGACCGGAACTTTTGATGTTGCTGATCACTCTTTTGAACGCTAATGCGAGGCTTGTCGCAGTTTTGGAGATGAGTATTTGTCTCTTTAACTTCACGGCTTGGCTTAGTAGTAGGGACCGTGTAAGTGAACGTTCCAATGGGAATGTCTTCCTTGTAATCTTTGATGTCTTGGAGAACTGAGACAACCATACTGATGTCCGGCCTTGTCTTTGGTCGGTATCTAAGGCATTGGTAAGCTAATGTTGCTGCCTTTCTTGCTCCTGCCTCGGAGTACTGATCTTCAAGCCTCGGGTCCATTATTCTCCTGAGTTTTCGTGCGTCGTTGAGCATTGGACGAGCCCAGTCGACGAGGCTTTGTTCCCTTGATGATCTCTTTTTGTCAACTGATCTCCTACCTGTTAACAACTCAAGCAACACAACTCCAAAGCTGTATACGTCACTCCTAGCCGTTAAGTGACCTGTCATTATGTACTCTGGTGCCGCGTAACCTTGTGTGCCCATTACTCGTGTTGACACATGTGTTGCATCCCCTTGTGGTCCGTCTTTTGCTAGCCCGAAGTCCGAGAGCTTCGCTGTATAATCCTGAAACAAAAATCAAATACATCAAACCTTTGTTCATGTAAATGTAAATGGTAAGATTATCTATAATACTTGGTTATACCGATTTTGAGAATTAGTACTCTACTTGATGAAAATAAATTGTTGTCCGCTCCAAAAATAGAACGGTCTAGTTTGGTGTAAGCATATTCTAAACCCTTAAAGATCAATAAAGAAGAAGGTTTGAGAATTGTTTGCTTACAGAATCTAACAAGATATTGGAGGCTTTGAAATCGCGATATATGACAGGCTTTTCGGCTTCATGGAGAAACTGTAGACCCTTTGCAGCTTCGTAAGCGATCTTCAACCTCGTTGACCACGGCAGCGGTAAAGAGCACCCTGCATCAAACCAGTTTCATCAGTACTTCCGAGTTCTTGATCATTTTGATTTGATGGTTTAACAAAAAAAATTTAAAAGTCAACTCACTTCTGAAGAGTTGAGATTCTAAACTTCCACGAGGCATGAACTCATAAACAAGAAGTCTATGTTCTTCTTCGCAGCAATATCCGATCAGCTTCACCAGATTCGGGTGCTTTAGTTTCCCAAGACACATAACCTCCGTCTGAAAAAGTTTACCCCAAAAAGATTAGAGACATTTTGACTCATCATCTTGTATCACAAAACAGAAGATCATAAGCTAGGGAGATGAATGTACGAACCATCCACTCACGATGACCTTGAAGACCATCAAGATCAAGAAGTTTAACAGCTACAGGCTGAGCCTTAAGACCAGGACGGAGCTTATCATCAATGAACCCTTTGTGAACAGGACCAAACCCTCCTTCACCAAGAAAGTTGCTAGAAGAGAAGCTTTGTGTTATGACTCTGAGCTCTGCTTGTGTGAACACATGGAGATCAGAACCGGCAAGAGAGATTGAAAGATCTTCAGACAAAGTAGTTGAACTTGGATTGCTTATGTCTAGAATAGACAATCCAAGAAATGAATTATGTTTGGTTAGGCCACCTCCTTCACCATCATTCTTCTTTGACTTTTTAGAAGATTTCATGTTTTCTTGATCTTGGAAACAAGAAACCATTAATGATCTCCAAGAATATTTCTTCTTCACCGCCATTGTTTTTTTTTGGAGTTTTCTTGATGGTTTTGGTTTGTAATGGGAGAGAAGAGCTTATAAAGTAGTGGAAGAGAAGAGGACCAAAGACTTTGTCTATATATTATTTCCTAATTCATATTTTTAGTAACAACTATGTTTTGTTTTCTCAAAGAACTTTTCTTTACCTAAAAGGCAAAAAACAAATGTTTTCTATCTTTTTGAGAAATAATTGTTTTATTAAAGAAAGAGGACGACGACTTCTTGAGGTCAGTTTATACTTCTTTCTGAAGTTTTTAACAATGCTTTGACATTGTCATTGTAAATTTTAATGTTATTAGACGAGTTAGTTAGTTCATCGTAGTCGTGAGTGGACGGCTAAAGGGAGAATTAAAATGACATTGCACCCTTTTTCCTATTAGAATTGTGAATACAATTAGAATAGTGATACCTTTTTCATACAATGATAGTTAGAATAGTGAAATTTATAAATTGATTGTTCTAGCAAAAATATAGCCAAAACAATAATAACTATTCGCCAATTTAGAGTTTTCTCGGACATTCGGAGTTTGGATCATATTCGATTCAATTTTTCTTCGATTGAGATAAGAAAAAAATAATAATGTAAACACTATTCGGTTCGGGGTCAGTTAAATATGTGTCGAATTCAGATCGATATTCGGAGAAATAAAAATAAGAATCTGTTGAATTTTAATAAAAAAAAATAATTTTATTTTCGAAATATTTGGTTAAACTTTACAAAAATATGGTATAATTTTAACAAATATAGCTTAAAAAATTTGTATATTTTGGTTATTTCAAATATTTATTGAATCTTATTGTTAAATATAAAACTATAGCTAAATATAGTTAAAAAATTTGGATATAATTTTTTTTTTTGGGTTTCCTGATATCGGATTTAATGCCCATCTCTAATTTTTGGATTGAGTCCCCTTTGTTTTTCTTACTAAAAGCTTTGTTTCTTAAGATTTAGTTGATGCCACAACTCTCGAATCTTCATAAGTGTTACAAAATATTATTACATAAAAATTAACAAACACTTATTATGAATATGATGTTTAAAATATATTATTTAAAACTGCCAAATAGAATAAAAAATACCATATGTCTAAATTAATTTTCAACGTCTACTGATAATTAGTTATACAATACGTACACTCCAAATATCCAACAATTTGTAAACATATACCTACCCGTTGTATACCGCAAAAACTCCCCCATATGACACACACTTATACTTCCGTCTGACATCTCATCCAAATAGTTAATATATAAGACTGACTATTAAAATTTTAAAATAGCAATATATATCCACAAATCACAATAGAAAACATATGTAAATCCTATCGAAATCTTGATTATTTTACCAAAAATAAAATAAAATAAAAAGACACAAACAAAAACCTGCGGTACACCGCGGGTTCAAACCTAGTGGTTAAATTTTTTTTTCTGCAGGGAACCATGTTTTTAGAATTTGCTTCATGAAAAATCAAAAATCTATACTTTTATTTTATATAATATTTACATTCTAATATTCAAAAAAAAATAAAATCAAACGATGTAGTATATTATTTTATACTAATGTACTATCGAATCTTAATTAATGGTTGACGGAAAAAAGGTTGAAAACATTTGGATAGCTACAAATGTAAACAGATGAACTTGTATCATCAAGAAGTTTCAACTCCTAAAATAAGTTGCTAGAGACTTTAAAACGTATTCAATGATACTAAATATGATTTCTCATAGAGCCATTGTTTCTAGTTAAGAAGACTCTAAATTCCGAATATGAAGAGTCAAAGAAACGTGTTTTTTCTATTTAACAGTGTAAGAGAGAAATGGACTTACTCCCGGAAAGGTCAAAATCAAGAGAACTAGTTTGTGAAAAGATGGCAGAAATTTTCATTCAATTAAAATAATGATTTGGTAGAAATGCAATATAACGAGTGAGTCAAGCTTCTAGAACACTACTTTATACAAATCTTATGTTTTGTTTTGTTCATAGAATATAGATGAAAGCAATTGATGTGGAAAGTATTTGTGAGCGCGTTGGGGAGAACTCTTTACTCTGAGTTGTTGACATTTGCTTTGGTCCCATGAGAACGAGGCTACATCATTTGCAACTTTTTGAATGAGAGATTTGATTGAGTTTGCTAATCAAGTTGAATTTTATAATCATATAAAAAAATGAAATTTACAATAAACAAATGTGTTAATACTTTTTGATATATACTTATATTTCAAATATTCAAAATAATTCGATTCAGTATTGGTTCAATTGAGTTTTGTATAGGTTCATAATTCTATGATACATTCGGTTATTTTAATTTTTAGATTTAGTTATTTTTTGTTTGGTACTCTTGCTTCTCTTAATTTGCAACTTTGTAAATTTGCCTAGGACTAATTAAAAGGTTAATAAGTCTTTGTAGTTTCATATATTTTAAAGTTTTGAACTATCATAAATAATGAACAATGGTTCGAGATTTCTAAGAAAACAAACAAAGCAATTAATTTAGAAACACATAGATAGATGTTGATAATTATAAAAATCTATCGAGGAAATTAGTTGATAAGGAAGAGCTTCTGATGCCATTTGACAAAGAGGCCGCACGGGAGATGGTTTGCAAACAAGAAATTGCATGAGATTACTCTTTGGGGAGAAAAGACTACATGATACTGTGATATGTATTCATGTGCACTCTATGTTCGTCAGAATATGTTTACAATTATAATTTTCTTTTCACCGTAACCTTAACATAAGGTAACGATTTTATACGATTACAGTTAAATACAAACATTTGATGACTATGATACAATTAATATCATAGGCACAGTCTTACATTTTCTTATTTTTATAATAAAAATAATTGGTGATATATCCAATAATATTAATTTTATAATATAAAATATATGTAATTATGTGGTTCAAATAATTATAGTTTTAGCCAAATAATCATGACTTTTGTTTTATCAAAACTATAAATAATTGAATTAATGATAATGAGCCTACAAATAATTAAATAAAATAAAATTTATGATGATCATGAACCTACAAATAATTAAACTGAATCAAATTTGTAATTTGATTACCGGAAATGAGTAGTATATGGGCACATTAAACCATCAAGACAATATTTTATTGAAATAATTTTATTTTAAAGGTTTAAATCGTATGGTTAACCAACAGTTTTGATACAGTTACGATCAATTAACGGTTATTTTTAGTAATTTTTTTAAACATAACTAATAGTATTTTTACAGTTAACAGTTACGAGTTTTAACTTAAAAACAATCCAGTTATATTTATATTTTGGTCATGACTAGGGAAGAATACTCATTTCATGTGCATTCTGACGGAAGGAGACTTCAATGTAGTCCGCGCATCAGAAGACTTTGATGCAATATGTTTAGGAGTAGACTCCTTAAAGGCATCCCCAAGGAAGATACTCCTTAAAAGTCAACCCAAGGAGGTGAACCATATTTTCTCGGCTCACTGGAGATTATATGCCTAGCCAAAATTATCCAATTGTATTCTTTTGTTTCATGAAAGTCCAAGAAACATGTTAACACTTAACAGTCTCGAATCAATACATCTCTGATGTTGAACAATCTTCTAAAAGATAACACTTACATCAACAGCTGGAAGAAAAGAGAGAAGAGAAGAGAAAATGACATCTGCAACAATATATATAATTTATGTTATTAGTGCGTATAAATAATGAACAAAAAAGTTGAATTTTGAGTTAAATGAGAAGACAAAAAAAATTGACAAATGTAGTGTTACAAACAATGAATCCCTATTTGTTTTACCCACTTCCACAAAATCTCCATGGCATAAGCTAGAGGCAAGCTTTGTCCCCATAGAGTTTTGACAGAGGTTGATGATGAACATTTCTGCTGGGGATTTCTCTTTTAAATGATTCCAGTAAAGTTACTGTCTTCGCGGTTTCTAATTCGTCTCGAAAACCAATTTCTCAAATCTTTGAGCTTTGGTAATCAAGATCATCCTCTCTAGCTTCAGGAGGCAAAAAAATCACAATCCCCTTCTTCTTTTGTTTTTCTTTTCTTTTTTTGCTAACTGTAAAACTCAGGCTACTAAAAGAATATTACCAGATGTATCTTTCGATGTTTATGTCCGTCGCATCAGATCATGTTCTTCTGTATTCTCGCATATACACCCGGGAAGAGGATTTGCATAAAAACTCTCTTCCAGCTTCGGGAATTCCCCTGACTCTCTGTTATATGGAGCTCCGTTTCGGTCTTTGTGTAGCTTTTTCACTTTGGAACTGAACTTTTTCCAAGATATTCTCCCCTCATCCAATGCATCAACAAGTTTCACAAAGTTCATCCTGCATTTGAAAATGAAGATGTGAACCAAATTGATAAAAAAAAATTCCTACAAACTAGAGCAGGTACAGTATTTGGGAGAATTTACTTGTCTGGGTTTATGGTCTTTTTGAAGTCCTCGAATCGCCTGTGACCTTGAACCGCTTTCGCCATGTTCCCATCATAAGTGTACAGAAATACCTCACTCTGAAGTGCAACAATATAATCCAAACCAGCCAACATGTTCTGGTGATTATTAAAAGGACTCAGTTCTTCTTTAGTGGCAAGTGTTGAATGTGAGAAAATGTTGGGGAAGTCTGTGTTGAGAGGATCCATGCTTCCATTTCCATAAGCTTCACCAGCTACGAGGTAAATCCGGGAGCTGGACGGGAATTCCAAAGCTCTCAGCAAAAGCGAGGTTTCCCTAGGAGTCAAGGGACAACCACCTTGCAATCTTCTCTCTGTTCCGTTTATTTCTTTTTCCTTCCAGTGAGTAACCTCATATCGCATCTGTCGTAATTCTTCGTCTTCTTCAGCTGTCAAACTATGACTGCAGCCAGTGAAAGCCAGCATATCCTTCTCATACCTGTAGAGGATAATAAGCTTATAATAAACCAAACTTTCTCGGGATTACTTAGTGTTTTTGCATGAGCTATAAACCAAGCAAATTTAAACTGGAGTTGCATCTAGATCTACATAAATAAACTGGCATATGGCTCAACGTCAATAAATACAAAGTGACAAATAGAGAAATGGAGAAAGCTACTTGCCTTAAATGAAGAGCAAGGTATGGACCTCTGTCCTCCCTCATTCTAGAAACTAGAATGTTTCCCAGTTCCTCTATTGGAGCTGAATATTTTAGTGCTTTATAATTTACTCGGCAACGAAGCTTTTGTACAGAATCAGGTAGGTCATTGTTAGCGAGCCGGGAATCTGTGTGGGTTAAGTACATTACAATATGCTGTTTCAACAATGGAAGGACCTCTTTCTTGTAGTAACCAACCTGTTACAGGGAATTTTTTTATTACCAAGGGTCTTCTTGAAAACAAATGTATGCAAATACTAGTTAACAAGACAACCCCAATAATAACCAAATAGCAAGAAAGCAATCTTGACCTTAGACCATGATATGGGTGTTTTAACGAAAGGCTCGGTCAAGGCTAATTCTGATGGCAATGACTCAACTATGTGAATATCATCCTTCAATTCCTCTATGAAGTGTTGCCAATCAAATAGATCCTTAAAGCCACTGCATACATGGTGATATAAGGAAGTAAGCTAAAGAGCAGATAATAAACCAACAAAAAGTCACCTGTCATGACTATGGTAGAGCTTTTATTATTTATCTTTAGTATGCTACGAATAAGAAGACTTCTTCAATTGTTAAATTAGGTGAAATCAACAAGGTACTTAAGAAGTTACGTGCTTCTGTAAGGGCATGAGAATAATCAATTCCTTAATAAAGTTAGGAACTAACCTGTCATCAGCCCAATATGAGCTGTGGTCAAGTGAGGGAAGCACCAAAGTTGCCTTCATAATTTTAGCTACTGCAACCATATCACATATCTGCATTCTAAAAAAGTTAAACGCATCAGCCTAGAACCTATAAACAGAAGACAACTAGAGAAATGTTGAGAAAACACAAAAGCCTGACCCCAAATCTCATTTGGTTTAATCCTCCATTAGCATTTATAAGAAGGTAGCCATTTGTATTAGCATTTAACTCTGCAGACAATACATACTCATATGGTCAGAACTTAAAGAAGAGAACAAGAAGTTTAGATTTTGCTAGGCTACTAACAGGGCATACTTTTGCGACTCCTTGAACTGTCTATACACTGCGAGAAATTTGCACTCTCTGGTTTGGCCCAAACACCAGTATACTGAATGAAGAATAAAACAAGGTTTCAGTAGAAAGCTATATAGCACGATTCAAGAGAGTAGGGAATGAAGCTGCAAATTAATCCACATGAAAACTTGTTCCCCATGAAGCCAGGGGAGGAAAAAATGACACTAAGAGATAAAACTTACTTCAACTACACTGTTTTGGTCACCCACCACGTCTGAAGCAACCATAACCAAAGTAGGATCAACATCATTCCCGCCATCTTTATAGATATAATCATGTGAGCTATGATCAAGTAAATTTACTCGGGGGATCGAGTTTGATAAATCCTAGAAAAAAATTACCAAAGTCATGTAAGATGTTTAATCTCCTTCTCCCATCAAACAGAGAAACACTTTTAACACTAAATGTAAAGATTCTAATCAAGCAGCCAAAATCCACCTCAAGATGTAAAATTAGACACACACATCAACATTTGAGCAACATCAAAACGCGATTTACCAATTTGTAGAAACAGAAACAAAGTTATAAACAAGACCTTCCTAAGCTAGAAGCAACAAATGTTGAACCAGAGAAGCAATCTAAACACTAATAAGCATCAGCAAATGTGAAGATGTTTATCTTAAACTAAGCAGGTTCCAGTAGAAACTAAACTAAGCAAGTTCCAGTAGAAAAATGGAAGAACCTGATCAGAAGCAGCGGAATCAATAGCAGATCCAAGCCAACCAGTAGCACAAATCTTGAAAACACCCATAAACAAACAAACACCACAGAAAGCAAAAAACATCCAATGACCAAGTTTCTTCCTCTCCTTCAAACTAAAATCAGAAACAACCGATCCCATCGGCTTCCTCAACAAGCCTTTGACAACTCTCTCCCTCAACTGACCATACGTCTGATGCTTCCTATTAACAGCAGAATCAAATCCACCACTCGGATCTGAACCAGAACCACCGGAAACAATCTCTGATCTAGGCGAATTAAGCGGCAGATCTATCTCGTGATGAACTCTCAAGGTCGAAGAAGACGAGGATGTGTTGTTGTTGTTGTTGATTCCGATGTTATCACTGACACCGACGTGACTATTGCTACTAGTACCACCACCACCAGAACCGCCGCGTTTGAAGGATTGAGCACGGCGGGTCATAGGACCGGAGAATCGAGGGCTATTGACATGTTGAGGGACGCCATCGCCACCGTCGTGGTGGTGGAGGTGGTGGCCCATTTCGAGCTCTTCTTCGATTGTTGCAATCTTTCTTATGAAGAAGACGAAGAAGGTGTTTGCGCGTAGTTGAGAGAGAGAGAGAGAGAGAGAGAGAGAGAGAGAGAGAGAGAGAGAGAGT